TGACTGCAGTGAGTTCGAGTTCAGGTGTTAACACTCAGCCACCTCACCTCCCTCCTTTCATGCTCTCACCTACAGCTGTGATGTGAGCAGAGGCTGCTCTGGTCAGATAGGCCCTCATACCTTCCCGCAAAGAAACATCTGGCTACTCGCCTCTTCTCTGCCTTTCTGTTATCTTTGTCACACTGTAATATAAGTGATCTCACTTTCTCTTCACTTAACTATGAGCCAAGTGAGGACACCATTCCTTCGCTTCTGACTCTTTGGTGTTAGTTACAGAGGGGGTGTTGTCAGCAAAATTCAACAGAGAAAGAGTGAGGAAATGTATCTTTTTTCAAAGAAATGGCTCATACACTTACAGATGCTTGCAAGTTCAATATCAGCAGTCAAGATAGCTTCTCAGGTGGTGTGCAGGCCATTGGGACATCAGCTTCACTGGGCCCAGCCTCAGGGCTCTGGACCATGTCAAAAAGCTAAGTTCCTATTGTTGTTGTGTACCGTTGAGTCGGAACCAACCCATATCACAGGGGAGGAGATTGGCCATCCTTTTCCTGCGGACCATGGTCAGTTCTGCCAGGTATGGTGTCTAATCCCCAGCTCTCTGCTGGTAAACCACAGTGGAGGCTTTTGGCTCTGGTTCCTTGCAGTCACAGTTCCAGTACAGCTCTGTTCTCTGGTTCTCTGTCACCTTTGCTGCTCTGCTCTGGGTCTCTGTTTAGCACAGGAATCTCTGGCTCAGCAGGACTCCACTTTCTGCTTTTTTCTTTCTTGATTTTTAGAGAGATTCCTGGGGGGGGGGTCCCCACCTCCCCACCCCCCTGAACCTGCTCAGTTTAAACCTGACTGGACTTGTTAGTAGTCCTCACATGTTATGCTCTTAATCAAAAGGTGCTATTTTATTTTATTTACATCACTAGCAAGCTATCCAGTCCCTTTGTTGGGGCCTCAGGCATTCCACATTTGTGTAGTCCTGCCTACATAGCCATGTAGGGAGCTCTAGTAGCAAGAAGCTACACTGCAATCCAGAAGGCACGTGGTTCAAGTCCACCAGGAGAAGGCTGGGCAAATTCCTCCTGTGAAAACCCACCAGAGGGTCAGCTATGGATTGGTTCTGACAACCACCACCACCTAGCCATGTGATTAAAAGAAAAACCCAAGGCTAAGAAAGCCAAATTGTATACTCTACAGCATCACAAATGTGCTCATCATATTACTTAGTTTAAAAAAGTAAATTTGAAAAACGTATATTTCAGTGAGAAAAGGGGATTTAGAAGCTGAGATTTCAAGAGCAAAATACTACTATTGTTTTCCATGAGAAGGGTAATAATCTGTTCACAATCTTTTGTTGATAGTGTCACTTGTGGTCTCGTGGCTAAGGAGCCGTGAACCCAAAGGCAGGCAGTTTGAATCCATCATCAATAAACAGAATATTAAAATTGGATTTCTGGAAATTGTTAGCTTTATATGCATTGAATAACTAACAGTAAAGAAAGAAGGCAAGCCCAATTAAACAGCCAGTCCGATAAAATGGGTTGTGGTTGTTGTTTCCCGTTGACGCCCCCCCCGCGCCCCCCCCCCCCCCGCAGATTTTCAGAGGCAGTAAATTGCAAGAGGGGAGATTGCCTGGCCTTCTCTCTCAGAGGTGCTGGTGGATTTACCGCGAGCCTTTGGAAGTGCAGGGCGGCTTCCTACCACCAGGACACCAGAGTGCCCTATAAACGGGGTGGCTGCGTATTCTTACATTTGGAGAGCAACAGCTTTTCATTTCCTCTCTGTATTCAAGGTGCTAAAAAGAAAAAGAGAGAAAAAGCAGAAAATTTTTAAAAAATCAGTTATAGCTGTTGAGTGGGAATTACCTCATAACTGACCCTCCAGCAGATGACTGAGGCTAAAGCAATGCTGAGGTGAGAGAAACAGAAATTTTCAAAGGGCAGTACAATAAGACAAAGTGAAGTATTAGGATGAAATGTGCAAAGAACTGGAGTCAGTGGTAGGTACACAAGAAACTAGGAAAAGGAACCTGTTTTGATTTTAGGGATATTGGGAAAAGTTACAGAAGAAAGCAGGAAGAAGACTTGCCATCTTGCAGTGGCGTTTTGGGTCAGCTCTGGGCCGGTTCCAACTCCACAGCACACAGCCACAACCTGCACCTCCCTATCCTGCAGAAACAGCCCCCAGAGCTCCCCACTCGGCTGGAGGGTCGGTCAGCTGTGCGTCGGCCCCAGCTGGACAGGACACAACAACAAGAGCAGTCATTAAGAAGGGGCAGCGATTCTGTTCCTCGTTTGTTTCACAGTTCACTGATTCTCCCAAAATGCATTTTAATCAAGTTGTCTGAGAGCAAAAGTGAGAAACAGATAAGGGTAATAAATGTGCTTAATCTTCCAGTTGTGTTGGCAAAATGGTTACAAGGCAAGTCATCTAACTCCCAGTTCAGGACTTTCTCCATTAGAACATACTGTTAGTCCCACTCCAGTCCAGAACACCCTCTGACAAGACAACGTGTCCTCCCTTTAGCGTAGCGTCCAGAGTCTGTGCAAGATGACGACTGCTGGAGGAAGCGGTGTGGTTGCACAGTACACGCTGTCCTGTAATAGCTTGTGAATGGTTTATTTCATAAAGTCGAGAGATATATAGTAACAGCACTTTCCCAGGCATGCCTTTTAAACCTCTACCAGTTGCACTTGAAAGAAATGAAATAGGCTTAGCATAGTCAGCCTAGAGTGAGTTTACACTCTGTCAAGAATAGACTTGATGCACTGATGACTGAAGCCCATGATTTCGAGGCCATCATCCATGAAAGGAAAAAATCAAAATAAAAAGATATTACAAAGAAAAAAGAAAAGAAAGAATTGGCTGTCATAAGAGACTCTGGAACTTGCACTAGAATGTAGAGAGACCGGAAGAAAGCAATGCTGAGGTGAGAGAAAGAAACACAATTTAAAAGGGCAGCCCAACAAGACAAAGTATTAGCAAAGAGTTGGAGTCAGTGTAGGCACACAAGAAACTAAGGAAAAGGAAACTGTTGGATTCTAGGGATATTGAGAAAAGTTATAGAGGAACATAAAGGTAATCATGGTATAGCATACAGTGGTATAGCATACAGATTAGCAGTAGATAATAGTAAATAAATTCTGAATATAATGTATAAAGAGGATTGATGTAAATCTCCCGGGAGGATGGGGAAGTGGGAAGTGTATGTGAGGTACATATGGAAGAATAAATTCTTGTGAGGAAATTGTAGCCAAGATTGTGGCCTTTCTCCCTTCTTTTTTAGTAACAACTACACACCTCGTCAGGGGGCCGATATTCCCGGGGATGGGACTACATACACCGTTTCTCAGTTTCACGTGCAGCTAGATGTGGGCAGCAGTACTTGCAGGAAATCTGTTTAAAGGGGACAGAGCGGGTCATTGTGCTCCTTCTGATGCTGGTCTGCAGTGAGAATCTGATGACGGAGCTTCCCTCACCATCACGGACCACTTCATAGAAGGGTAGACCAGAGAGTCAGGCGGGTCTCGAGGTCCTAACGGCATTCTGAAGCCACCATATCAACATTTGTGTTCTGTGAATACTCTTGTATATAATTCTAAGCCATCATATTCAGATCTCGTTTATATGTAGTAGAACCAGATCTTGACTGATATAGAATTCTAATACCCAAAATGATAATAGGTATATAGACATATTACTCAGTACGGAGGTAAATATTAGAAACTCTTGGTTGCTGCTGTTAAGTGTCCTCATAGCCACCCTGTGAACTAAAGTCCTCAATACTTGCGTGACTTTCATCCTCTTTCCAGGTTCATAGGGTTTCCAGAGGCAAGCTATTATGGAAGTGGAT